CAACGAACCTTGTGAAGAGATGGACGACTCGTGCGGCGGCGATGAGGGTTGACGATGGTGGCTACCGTGAAAAATCGCTTTGGACGAAGAAGGAACAGTAACGAAAAATCGCTTTGGGACGTTGGAAGAGTGGAGGAAACACAAGAGCCACGTACAGTAAGAACACACAACTTTAATCAAAAACATTAAAATTTATTATAAAACAACCTACGAAAGCGCTTTTAAAAGCGCTTTCTAATGGTCATGTATAACAGCGCTTTTTCATAAAAAAGCGCTTTCGTAGCATACCCTATAGCAGCGCTTTTAAAAGCGCTTTCTAAAGGCCAGATTTAGCAGCGCTTTTGAAAAGCGCTTTCTAAGGCTGACCTTTAGCAGCGCTTTTGAAAAGCGCTTTCTTATGTTCCCTCTGAAAGGCACCCTTTAGCAGCGCTTCTCAAAAAGCGCTTTCTAAGGGTGACCTTTAGCAGCGCTTTTGAAAAGCGCTTTCTTAAGGTACCCTTTGAAAGCGCTTTTTTTAAGCGAATTTTTTTTAATATCTACAGCAGCGCTTTTTCCTAAAAGCGCTTTCGTATGTGTGATGCTAAAGCTTATTTTTGGCGTAGTGATTTTGTAATTTAAAATACTAAACTTAAATATAAAGTATTAATTTTTTATCGAACGGTCATTGATGCTTCGAATGCGTGAATGCATGATCTAGTGATGATAAGAAAACTCAATTCTCATATAATGGTGACACAATCTTAGTTATTCAATCTTATTGGTTTGAAACAGTTGAGTTAAGGGTTAAAAGGAGTTGCAAGTTCAAAGTTTAAGTCCTCTCAATGGTGTAAAAATATATACTAATAATTTTCCATTAAAAAAACATAATTCATCTTTGCAACATGAACATAAAACATGTGTCGAATTTCACATATGACATTAGGGAGGGGGGGGGGGGGGGGCAACTCCCTCAGTTTAGGGAGATTAAAGTAGCCGATGAGTCCCTCAGTGTCGAATACACGAACTCGTAGACATCTACGTGGCTTAAGTGTGTTAGCAAGTCTAAGGAAGTGTGCCAGTATTGATGTGACATCAACTCATTTTACTAGGTTGAGTGTTGGAAAAGAAGATGCATGGGTGACATTTAATGTGCCTTATGATGACATTACTCGAGAGACGAATCGATCCTCAAAGATTACACGTGGCCTTTAGGTGTGGGTACTTTCCCACTTCTAGAATAAATCTATTGGGTGTTCGTGCAAGTTCGTTTCTCCCAGGTTCTTATATATTTTCGGAAGTAATGTTTCACTCTTTCTTTCTTCTATCTTCAAAAATCCATGAGTCTTATTTATTTTGGTTTACCACGGTGAGAAAAACGACTTTCATTCACGTGCAAGAAATAACCTCCTTGTATTCTATTGTGGACGTGATCAACAAAATTTGTCATGGTATTAGTTTTTCCAGTACAGGTCGTGAGATTGACGTGCTTATGGAACATTGTTCAAGTGACGAAAGAGAGAATATAGGTACTTCTGACGATCCATCTGGTCTTTACGTCTACCTGCACCTCCCCATTGTTTAGATTTGTGAGTTCTGATTCCTTTCTCTTCTTTCAAAACAAAGTTTCTAACTGTTATTAATGTGACCCCCTCTCAGATTACCTAAAATACTTGGGGAATACTTATGGATTTTTAGATAGTGTGCTGTCATTTGGGAGTGTCACCCTCTGCTAGGGTGCTTATGTATTTTTTTTTCTGGACGAAGTCTCTTCCCAACAACAGTTGGATTACTCTACACCCTTTTTTGAGGATACATTTTTTGAAGTCCTTCGCTAATCCATATGAGGATTGGAAAGACAAGTTTACTTGAATAAGAAGGATAAATCATGCATCTCTTGTAATGGTATGAGCGGGAGGCGAGCCTTTGTTCTCTTTTTTTTGGACCCCCGACCCTAAGTTTACTATGAAGGTGGACTTGCGTGTCCTCCCTCCCTTGGACAGTGAGGTGATCTTGGCTCTAGAATGCTTCTTCCCCTTAGAGTAGATCTGTCAAAATGGACTACCCGACCCTAAAAAGACCGACCCTAATGGGTCTAGGATTTTTAGGGCTGAGCCAAAAAATCCTATTGTATTTTAGGCCTCAAAATTACTACCCGAACCCGGCCCTCGATGGGCTTTGGGCTACCCGGCCCTAAACGAACTTTTTTTAAATAAAAATTTAAAATAAAAAATCAATAATATTTCTTATAAATAAAATAAAAAATATATTATTTTAAACATAATACATTTTTAATTACTATATTATCTTTTATAAATATTATAATGTGTTTTTAAATACAATACATGTCTAAATTGTAGAAAATAATACTCAAATATTTAACATAAGAGAAACTAATAGAATATGAGGAAAAATGTTGATTATATTATTGTATAATATTTAAAAGAGAAAGATTGAATAGAATAGAGACAAAATTTAGTGAAGTGAGAAAAATCAATGTATTATTTTGGAGTAACTCAATATAAGAATTTATATATATATATATATATATATATATATATATATATATATATATATATATATATATATATATATATATATATATATATATATATATATATATATATATATATATATATATATATATATATATATATATATATATATATATATATATATATATATATATATATATATATATATATATATATATATATATATATATATATATATATAGCTATGCGGGCTTAATTGGCTACCCACGGTCCATGCGGGCTAGCACGAATGGATAGAGGGCTTTTTAGGGATGGGCTAAAAAAGTCCTTAAAAATATGGGTTCTAATTTAAAGGCCCAAACCCTATAATTTTTTGGGCCAGACGTGCCGGCCCATATGGGCTAACCCATTTTGACAGCTCTATCCTGGAGTGTAGAATCCTCATTTTCCAGGATCGTGAAGACGTCAATGGAGTAGAGAAGTACATAGGTAAGAGTAAATATGTATATTTTTATCGGGGTTTTCTTTATATGGGCATGCTCTAACAATTTGTTATGTATAGGCGAGAGGATCGTTGTACCTTCGATGAAAAATGAGAGCACCTGGTAAATTGTAGACAATTGATCAATGAGTAATTCGATCTTTTTCTCAGGGCTCTTCTACCGCTCCAGGAATGGAATAATGTGAAACCTCATGGCGGACGGGGATCCGTCATCCGTCCAGGAGGGGAACAAAATCTCCCTTCCATGGTTGGAATCAAGGAACTGGGGCAGAGAGGTTGGTAGACGCCCAAACTCCACCAGAGCCCTCTTTATGGAATAAATGTCCCTTTGATGTCGTAACCTTTGTCGATCATTTATTTTCCATCCCAGGAACTTCCCTAGTGATTATCAGATGCTTCATGCTCTATCTCCTACCCAACTGTCAGTTTTGTTGGAGGCCCAGTTGGTGAAGTGATTTTTAGTGGAGAGAGCGCTGATGGAAAAGCGTTCCAAGACCTGGGAGAGAATGCATTCTGGGGTGTCTAACCTAAATAAGCGTACTTGGAAAGGCGAGATGGCTCTAAGTGTTCGATATGTATACTTTCAACCAACCCCAACAATCTCCACCTTGATTGAAAATAATACATCAGTTATCATAGTCTTCACCGATAATCATTCTCCACCATAAAGAGTATAATTATTTGAAACTCCATCACTCAAAAAAATTTCACATTATTTCACTGACAATCATAATTAAAAAACTATCATGCTCTACCATGGAGAATATATTTCACTTGAAGGTAAACCACTACAAAAATTTCACATTATCATCAACGAAATCATATACTTTATGGTGCAATATACTTTACATGTCAAAAATCAAGCTGAAAATTAATGGTGCAACCTTCATGTTGGCAGAAAACTCTTCAACCACCAATATAATCTCATAATACATCTTGCATCAATGCTCGTGTACTAACCACTAACCACACCCTGTGTAATCTTGATTGTATCAACATATTATTTACTTGAACTTTCCACGGGTCAAAAATAATTCTTCCATTAATTTTCTCCGGTGCAAACTACACAACAGATTTTGTGACTGCAACTTAAACTCTTTCACGACACTACCGTTTTTTATGTGAAAGATTAGACACAACTGCAATTATAAAGCATAACAAGAACTCCAATATCCAGAACAAATTAAAAATTCTAATATTTATGGGGAGAAAACGAGAGCATAAAACGGATGCCCACATATATATATTTTTTTAAATTAAAAAACAATAAAAAAATCAAATAAAGTGTACCAAGGAAAAGAAATGTAAGGACAAAATCAACAAAGAAAAGACTATTTAATATTTATTTAGTAATCCATTATAAGGTGGTGAAGTCAAGGATATCTCTTATAAAATTGAAGATAATTTATCCTAATGACACATGACAATGAAATTTTATTACATAAAATTAATTTTTAAAATTATATATTAACCCCAAATTTTAAAATATTGAGTTTATGTCTTTTATCACTTAAAAATAATTCAATATCATCTTTTTGATCGAATGTAAGAATTATTACTCACATTTGACATACTAATATTTTACTACTCAAAAATTAAATTATACGTTATTTTCTTGATTTCACTTTAATTTTTTTAAAATTTTAAATTAATATATAATTTTAAAATTTTACTTTATATAATAAATTTTAATTGATACACGTCATAACATCATAAGGAGTAAATTACCTTAAATTTATAAAGGGTAGTAAAAAATTTACATTATAGGATACATTCATTATTAAAAAAATTTAAAAAGTAAATTAATGCCACCAAACTCTTGACACTAAAACCATGGTCTATATAATTCAGACTCTGAACTCTGTGTTGTCTCATTTCCTCATTCTACAATTATTTGCCAACTTCTCTGTCCTGCAATAAATCACACACCATAATATTTCACAACTACGCATAGCAAAACACAATAGTCCAAATCAAGAGTTCAGATTCATCTTCAAGTTTGAGCTCAACAGATTCACCACATCATCATGGATGGAAAGCAAGGGAGTGAAATACAACCCTATGTTGAAGCACCACCAGAAGTGGCAGAACAAAATCGTTATTCACATAAATCAATTGAGACACTCATAGTGGTGATAGCAGTGATCACTATTGTTGGTGTCATTGCAGGAATGATTGCAAGGTTGTGCGGTGGAAGACACTTTGGAGGCAACGGTGAGAATGATATAGAAGGTTGGGTTGAAAACAAGTGTAGAAGTTGCATTGATGCTGGTCTTCCACCACCACCACCGCCGCCACCGCCACCGGCGCCTAAACCTGAAGAACCAAAAGCAGAAACAAAGCCAGAAGCTGCAGCAGGTGGAGATGGAAGTAAATGAAAAAGGGTTCAAATGCATTATTCTATTATAACACAAACATTATTTTATTCATTGTAATTTCTTCTTTATCATGTTTGTCTTAATTTTGACGTTTCAGATTCACATAATTTCAGTAGTTAGTTTCATTCAAGGCACTTTTTTTTTTTTTTTTAATTATTTTATTTGTAGCATATTTTAAGAAGAAAAAGAAAAATACTGGTCTAACATAAAAATTTCAATGCTCCACCATTATCATAGGCTATCATTTTTAAAGTTTGTAAGTGGAGCCACTTATCATGAAAAGCCTTATTTTGTGTCAAAATTGTTTTACGGTGATTACTTTAAAATCTGAATTTGAAACCTATGATTAACTTTTTGCTTGAGATCTGAAATTAAGTTTAAAGATGCCACCAACATTATGATGATGGCATGAAGTTTCAATTCAATAGTACAAAGCAAAAGCTCTCTAGGCCGTTGGCTAATGTTATATAAAAGCTAAACAAACTTTCCGAGCTTTCTTTCATTTCGTTATTGGAGTCTTACCGTTGCTATGTATTTCATCAATCATGAAACCGAATTTAAAGAAAAAACTTAAAACTTTAATATGCTAGTAAAATGTGAGTATGTCAACGATTTGAGTTGGAACATGTTCCGCTAGGGATTCATAAATGTTTGATAAAATGATAGAGTAAAGTTTTGATGATAGAGGTGGACCTGCAAAGTTAGTATTCTAACGTCAAAGTCATCAAGAGATTGAAGAGTAAATGTGACTTATAATTCAAAGAATACCTCAGATTTCACGTGGGATGTCTTGTGTATGACAGACGGTTATGTGCGTCCCTTGATTTTCAACATGGAATGCAGGAGAGCGTCTGATGACATCTAACGGTAGACAGTCGTCCATGGTATGAATCTAGTGTGGACTCCAGAGCTAGGTTACATTGTACCTTCAATGCTTTTGTGGAGTGATTTTGGACTGATGACTGAGTTTTCTCCTTTTTGGGTCTATGGATGGCCTATAATAGTTGTCCACAAAGTTTAACGTGGCACAACAATGGAAAATCTATCAGAAGATTGGGTCGGGTATTTTGTGTCGGGTTCATTGCTTGGAGAAGTGGGAAAGACTTGGGAGCCAATGTGAGTGATCTTGGAAACAAGCGCATTTAATGTTAGTCTCGTCATTGAAAAGTCTTACAAGATTGTTTTTTTACATGTGGCACTAAATCCTTAGACTAAGGCGTTGTGTTTTCCTCTAGGATGCTCAAGTGTACTCGAGTGTCGTTACAATCTTGAGGCAAATCCAACTGTTGTTTTTCATCTGCTTATTACCTTTTATTTAGGACCATTGTTTTACATGCTCCACCTTCATATATAGAGGTTATTTCACCTTCCTAACCATGTTTCCACTCTTTGCGCAAACTGTAATCTTTTTCTTCTTCTACAAACTCTGATTGCTTCCTCATGAGCCCTAATGATTTCCCTTTTACCTTTCTTTTTCCTTATTTGGATTCTTCATTTTCTCGGTTTATCGAACCCTTAGAACTACCCTTTGTCTTAACTGCTTCCTCAACTTTTAGCTCTTTAAGGATCCATTTCTCTCCTTGTTTACATTTTTTTGTTTTCCCTTCCTCGTTTTAGTCATGGCCAATATGGAAGATGAACCTGCAAATATTCTAGACATACTTGGTGACAACGATGTGAGTTATACTTCATCTCGCACTGAAATAGTAGACTCAAAAATGAAAAATGTCTCTTTCTTAGAAGTTAATCGATCCATTAAGAACTTCATTGTCTCCAGTGGTAGTTCTAGTTCTATTGGGGGTTCTATTGAAGATGGAAGTGATTCTTAGAGTTCCCATTCTAGAGGAAATACAAATAATTCTTTAGAAGGAATCAAATGGATGAAATATGATCATTGTTTCTAGGGATAATGATTTTGGTCCCTCTTCTCCCGCCCAACATTTGGTGGGTCATGACCTGTTAAGAATTACTAGGATAAATCGAGACCTCGTCTCTTTATTAACTTCTTTAGTTTTGTAAATGGCCTAAAACCTAGTGATAAAGAGGTTAGGTATCACCTCACTTTTGAAGTCATTCCCTAATTGATGACATGCATTACCTTTTACATGACACTTAGGAGTACATGGTTCGAATGGATCGTTATGGTCTTGTAATTCCCACTGATGTTGCTCAACATCATTTGGTAGAGGTGAAGTTAGTAGAGAAAATTACCTTCTTCAGCAACACTCGGAGTTTAGAGGGTGCTTATAGAGATGTGGGGTTATCCTCCGATTGGTGTGTTTCCTATATCGACCCGAACCACAATATATATAGCTCCTTTGATGGATGTTCCATGCTTCTCTATGAATGTATGTTCTCTAGGATGAGGTTCAAGTTTCCCTATAAATATTTAGAGGAGGGGAAGTTGAATCATTTGAGGTTTTCTCTGCCCCAACTTCACTCGGTAGCTTGGGAATTCGTCAAAGTATTCCAGTACAGGGGTGATTATTAGGGAAAGGTGCAAACTTTGGGGGTATTCTTCAACCTCTTCAATGTGATACACACTTCTGCAATATGGAGATTGGGGACAAGGGTTGCTTTCGCTTTGCCAGCCATTGAAGATGTTTCATGTTTACCTTGAGAGCTGGAAGAAATTCAAGGACCATTACTTCTTGGTGACCCCCTAGAATCAAAAGGCTCATTATGTGTTTTGCATCCTTATAGAAAAAATCCTTCTTCATCCTCCCCCTCGGAGCCAGAGAAATGTAAGGATATGATTTCAAAATGTTGGGTCCATAACCATTTCTTATGTGCTCCAAAAATATATGCCTTCGCCTCTGAATCTTTGACCCTAGAGGAAGAGCCATTTAGTGATGGCTTAATCTCCTTCTAGGAGATCTTTAATTATGAAGAGGGAGTCATCCCTTCAGACTCATTGTCCTTGCAGCAGAAAAGACAAACTATTAACACATGATCATATGTGAAAACGACCACTGTTCTCTATAGAAAACATCTCTTTGGAGAGGACATGGAACCATCTTTATGCTTGCCTTTATTATTCACATAAATTTTTTGATGATTGTCCTATTTATTTCGTCTTGTAGATAACATGGGGGCTTGGAAACATATTTAAGAAGAGTAAGGCCCACGTGGCAAAGGATATTCATTAGTCTCCTTCCTAAAATCCTACTACAGCCCCGGTTCAAGGGAACTAAAACTCACCTATGAGAGAATGAGGCTTCATTTGATGGGAAGATACCAGTATCCTAGGCTGGGCAATAAAATATGACAGACCCTAGGCATTTGTCATCTGAAATTCAGAGCAAGAAAACTCATTATTGGTTTACATTTGCTACTGGGGAAGCTTCTAAGATGGACAATGGCAAAAAGGAAGCTAGAGGGCAATCCTTACAAAAACATTGAAACCATTAGGGTCTTCCCTTTAAAGGGTAACCCTAAGCAGCTCCCCATATGCTCTTTTTCCTTCAAGCTTTCAGGTGTCTTCATATCTCAGGGGGCCCGTATTGCCAAGGAAGAACACTCTTGCATAGTCGAAAGGGAGATACACCTACATTTGAAACATTTCTAATACAACTAAGTTGAAGCTAATGGTAGAGATTACCTTCAACGTGTACCAGGGTGCTTCCTTGTTATCATAGGAGGTTGTTGTTTATGGTGAGGTGTTAGAGCCTTGTAAGCCTACCAAGAAGAGATAGATTCTAAAAGGCCAATGTGACTTTATTATTTGTGAACGAAAGGAGATTGAGACCCATAAAGATAACTTATTTTGGGTAATGAATGAGCTTGGAGACTCTGCTAATGATAGTTCCAACTTTGTTCATGCTACCTTTTAGAATGCTTTCAGCAAGGTGGAATTGTTTTGTCTCAAATTTAGGATCCCTTAGGAGTTTTTTGAACCCGGAGAAGGTATTTATGGAAGGAAAGTTAGAGAAATATGATAAATGAGCCTTGTGGATTTGTTAATTCTTGCTTGTAATTTACTTCGATTATGGAAATAATAATAGTATTTCACCAGACACGTCATGACTTTGTTTTCCAATTAATATTCTATTATTTTATTTCATCATACGACTTCTCGTGATTTTATTTCATCATATAATTTTCTATGATTTTATTTCATCATATGACCTCTCATGATTTTATTTCATCATGTAATCTTCTATGATTTTCATTTTATCATATATGTACCCTTGAATAGAGGCCAGAGTATGCTTTGACATATTTGGGGACCGTGCCCAGTCAAGGGTCAGTTCCTCTTCCCAACCCCCATATGAAGATTTGGTTTAAGGTTGATGTATCGAGAGCTCTACTTCTTGCGCTCTAGAGTAGGTAGCTATTAATTGGGAGGTGTGCCAATTGTGACTTCGTGCTACTTAGTTATCATGAATCTTGTTTTTATCTTAGGAAAAAACCATATATTTTTTACAAAAGTGTTGCATTTACTTATATAAAAAGTATTACACTTTATAATCATTTCCAATTCGTGTTTGTGCAAATTGGGGAAAATTGAACTAAAATACCTTATGTGCTTGGTTGTGTTCCACGTCCTTGGGATTAGTTATTTTTTTGAAATTCTTGTATGATAGAACTTAAATGTCCTATGACATGTAGAGATATCTGATCTGACATAAACATTACGATAAGGCATATAACAGTTAAAAACAGTACTGCAAAGCATAAACAACACACCAGAATTGTTAACCCAGTTTGAAACAACCTTTCTACTCTGGGGGCTACCAAGCCCGGGATAAAGTCCACTATAATAGTATTCAAAGCTAAACTAGTCCTAGGTTTACAAATTCTCACTTAATCACTACCCATGCTATTTTATATCTAAGACTCACTTAAATATGAAGCTCTTCGCAATCCCTCTTCAATCAAAGACATCGATTGGACAACAAAATAGGAAGACACACTTCTATGATAATAAACCAGAAGAATCACTTCCATGACAATATCTAGCCAAGACTCTTGACTAAGAATACAACTTGGAGTTGCTT